ATAATAAAATAATTTGAATTTCAGTATTAAAAAAAAGGTTATAATCTTAACGTTCGTACTTTCCTCTTTACAGTGGTATTTTTTTCCATATGTGTAAAAAATTTTTGAAAAAAAGGATATTTTCGCCAAAAAAAAAAAACACAACTTAATTCAAAAACTAAGCAAAACTGATTAATAAAAGTTTATCAAAAACATTGAAATTAAAAACTGCATTAAAAAATGCCAAGACACACATGGTGTTTCATTTGAAAAAAAAAACAGAAGTTTGTATTGTAACCTATTTTTGGGCCATCCTGTGTAATCAAAATTTCTTGAAATGCCCTAGAGAATATAAATTAAGTCTACAAAATATAAAAATTTCCACTTAAATAATAACTGAGCTACAGAAGACCGGAGCTGAGATAAACCACCCTGTATATGTATTACATACCAGGTGAATAAAAAGTATGGAACCAAACATTTTTTGCTTAAACTATTTATTTTTTGAAAAAACTAACTGATGAGTGATAAAGTACTATAAATATGTGATAATTTAACAAGAATAAATATTTTCGAAATTTCATTTTGTTTTTGAGTTCTACAAAAAAAATATTTTTTTAAATGGCAACCCACTATAAAATCATTTTTCTCATAAAAGCTATACTCTAAGAATTACAACTATCCGCTTTATATTTAATTTTTTCAAAAAAATTTTACCAAAAAAAATCGCATAACTCAAAAACAAACCAAAATTTCGTTCTGAAAATACGATCACATTTTTTTTATTACTTTAATTTATATTTATTATCATTTGCTGGAGGCAAATGATTAAAAATAAAACCGCTTAGTTCCATACTTTATATTCAGGATATGCTTTTTTTAAAGCAACTTACTTCCAACGGCATTGTCACCAAAAAAATACCGTAGGTTGTTGACACACCTAAACGAGTTTGTTAATAGCCTTGTTAAAGACGCAAAATAGAAAAATATCTTCGAAACTCTTCTTTAAAAGAATACAGTAAAAAATGTGATGCCAAAAATGAGACAATACAGACATTTTTAAAATTGAACAAAATAAAAAAAAGTGAACTTTGCACTTGATTTTTTACAATTTCGCTGTGATGTGCAATAAGTTTCTTGAGTAAACGACTGGCGGAAAGTCAGTTTTGTATGAAAAAAGTGAGACAATCTAGCTAACTCTCGTGTGATTACGCTGACTGTAGTGTAGAAAGAGTGTTTATAAGTTTTTCGTGCATCTAAAGGTAACGGCTTGAAGTTTTCTAATTTGCAAACTTCCCTCGGCAGATGTTTATAAAATAAACATGAACGGCTATAAGTTGCGGCATTGAAACCGTTTGAATTCCGTCCGCGTCTACATTCATACATATTGACAGGCACCCCCTTCAGATATCGATGACATTTGGATTCTATTTGTGTAAAACATGAAATCTGGCCCTGCGATACACATCTATACCTACGCTCCAGACGTGACTTGTTTCCCATCCGATAAAACTCCAACATTTGATTTTTTTTAAACTAATCCCAAATCGAGGATTAATCCCGAAAGAAAGCAATTTCATACAGCAACTATTTATCTTGAAAAATGGTGAAAGGCAGCTTAACGCTGATGTATGTGACTGGAAAAAAATTAAATACCGGAAACGATCCGAAGTCGATGATTTATGGCCGAATTCAAATCGCAGGCGTTTTTATTGCGCATATGGTGATTTTTCTTTGAATGTACGTACGTCTTTGATTTACACTGTAGCAGGTGTCCGGAACGAGGCAGGGACTCCGGGACCGGAAAATGCATCGATCTCCTCACGATAACTGTTGCTAGACCAGAGCCGGACTCTATTTTAGTTTCAAATTCTTAAATTCGAAAAGTGTTGGTGCAAAAATGGCAAAAGCCGGTCCTGCTGTGGATATATTGGCTTGATATGATTTAGTGTCTCCGCACGGAGCCATTATTGCTGCCCGCTGTTCCCAAATGAACACATCCATATTTTTTTCACACATGCTGGTGGCAGGACTGTTTGTTAATATGTCCCCTTCGACGGAAATATCTATTTCTGGAAATAATAAAATTGATTTCGAGTTTATTGTGCGTTTTATTTACGTGGGAATGGGCGAAAAATGTTTTTTCAAATTACAACGTCTAGACAGAGAAAATCGTTAATTGAAATAAATGTTTTTTTCTATGATTTCAACAGAAAGTAAGTTTTTCAACCTTAATTTCAGAAAAGAAAGTGGCCAAGTTCTGATGGCAACTGGTTTTTTGGAAATAAAAAAAATGTAATTTTTTTTTCGAGCACTTTTTACGTTTATCAATCAGAAACTTCATTTAAAGAGTGCTTTTATCAACTAATTTCAGTAGATAAAGTAGTCTTTTATCGTCTAGTGAAATAAAGTAATTTTTATCTACTGTTTAGATTTAAGAAATTCTGGTAGGTGAGTACAAAATAAAACAAAATATTATACAAGACTTAAACAAAATTGTTTATATACGAGTAGAGTCTAAAATGACAATTGATTTTTGCGTTTTTCAATATTTATTTCGCCAAATTTCGCTAAAAACAAGCCGAAAATTTAAGAAATTGAGCCAAAAATGACGTTATTGTTATATAAAAACAAAATATTTTGGAAAAATTTAATTTAAACACTCAAAAATTTTAAAATTAAATTGAAATCGCTATTATTTTTTAGTTTGTTTTGCTCGATTTCCTTCGTTTTTGAACCAGAGGCTCATTTATTTTGCAAAATTTTGTCTAAACACGCCCAAAAATCACAAAGAAGATTGATATTGATGTTATTTTCTTTGTTTTACTTAATTTAATTAGTTTTTGAGTAAAATTAAGACAAAAATAAGTCGAGAAATTACAAAATTTGGTCGAAAATGTTTTTAAGCACGTACTTGAACGTTTTTGTACCTAAATTTCAGATTTTTTGCAAAATTTTGCTAAACGTATCGAAAAATCAACAAAGTAACTTGAAAATTATCTTTGCATTTCTTGAGTGTTTTATCATGTTTTTCGGCAATTGTATTGCAAAATTTTATTAACGATAAGTAAAAAAAATCATAGAATTAGTCTGAAAATAATGTAATTTTTACTTAAGCAGGATTTTAAGCTAAAAACTTGGTTTATCCACGAGATTTTGCTACACCGAGTCAAAAATCACTACATTGTTATGAAAATTAGTTCATTTTTACTTACCTCTTAGTTTTTAACCACTCAGATTA